TGGGGGGAGGGGCTAAAGGGGGGCTCGCCGTGGGACTGAGGAAGAGGGTAAAAGGGGGGCTCGCCCTGGGGGGCAGGGGTAAAAGGGGGGCTCGCCGTGGAGCTGGTATGAAGGGGGCTCGCCGTGGGGTATTGAGTGTGGGGGGCCTGGTCCCTGTGTATAGTAGGGATGTAAAAAATGTAGAAAAACATTAACCATGTAACCGATCAAAAATTCTGTTGGTTACATGACAGGGAGGTTAGCGTGTAGTCAGTTACATGGTTAAAAGTCGGCTCCCCACAAGCACCAGCTCCCAAGGTGCCTCCTCCAGCACTGGCTCCCTCCTGCTGCCTGACCCACGTGTAACCACTTAAAACCTTTTATGTCAGTGGTTACGTGTTTACACAAACAATAGTTGACATCCCTATTACATGAATAAAATATTTTAGGAGATGCAGCGGGAGCGTCACCATCCCTCCCCACGTGTTCTGCCCCTCTCCCTGATCTGGTTGCTGGCACTGCTCCTGATGGGGTCCCTGTGAGTTCAACCATTTAAGTAACTGAGGTTAAATGGCTAAACTTTAATGTTCTTAGTGCAGTTTCTGAGCTATACCTGCTTTCTCCCTCTATCCTGGGTAAGTTTATTATCCCCACTTCAAAGTTTGATGCGTAGCCAGCCTTGATTAGTCCCTGGCTCCCCTTATCCTTAATAGGAAAACGTAAAAAACAACAAATAGTCTAGTAGCACCTGAAAGACTAACAAAACATGTGGATGGTGGTTTGAGCTTTCATGGGCACAACCCACTTCATCCACATGTTTTGTTACTCTTTCAGGTGCTTCTAGATTATTTGGCTGTGTCTACACTGGCATGAATTTCCGGAAATGCTTAAAACAGAATAGTTTTCGTTATAAGTATTTCCGGGAAAAAGAGCGTCTACATTGGCAGGCTGCTTTTCCAGAAAAGCCCTTTTTCCGGAAAAGCATCCATGGCCAATTGAGACGCGCTTTTCCGGAAAAGAGCCCCGATCGTCATTTCCGCGATCGGGGCTTTTTTCCGGAAAAGACTACTGGGCTGTCTACACTGGCCCTTTTCCGGAACAGTGTTACCGAATAAGGACTTATGCCCGAGTGGGAGCAGAATAGTTTTTCCGGAACGTTGCTTTCCCGGAAATTCAAGGGGCCAGTGTAGACAGCTCGCAGCTTATTCCGGAAAAGCGGCTGATTTTCCAGAATAAGTGGCCCAGTGTAGACACAGCCTTTGTTTTGTTTTTTTTCAAGTTTTTCCTATTACAGACTCACTCGACTACCCCTCTGAAGCTTGCCCTTAATAATCACTGTAAGAGGCTGATGAGAGCTTTACTCGTGGGTTCTTAAATACTCCTGGCAAATGGGATATTGCTTATTCAGGAGGCAAACATAGACTTGTGTTACTTCCCAGATGTTTAGGCTATTAAACCTGAATGCAAAATGAACTCCTTCCTCTTTTTCTATGAGTTTCCAACACCAAAATCCATGAGTTAGGCTTCCTCCCACCACACCCCCAAAAAATAATGTGACTGGGTAAAAGAGCATGTAGTTCTTTAAAATGATAAATTTGGCCTTTTGTAATATGCCTTCTCATTTTTGAGCCTTTAGGGTTCTCATCTTCCAGCATCTCTCTGAAACCATTGGGTCTTGAAACTTAATTTGAAAAGAGAGTTTAAATTGTCAGTGGTGATAGGTTTTTCAGAAGTTGAGACTGTAAGTAGGATCCCAAATAGCACAAAATTCACGATAAAATCATGAGGCTGGCAATGTTGCTTCATCCCTTCCTTACCTATGCCACGTCTTCTAGTTTGGATAATGAAAATGGAGTAGTCTTTCTGAGACACAGCGCTGCAAAGTTTGGGCAGTAATCACTGCTGGGGAAAGGGATGTCAACATTAAGTTTAACTGGTTAACTGATTAAACAAGGGTAGATGGGGGAGGGTAGAGCTGGGCTACTGGCTCATGGGCTCACAGGCTGGGAATCAGTCTCTCCCCCCTTGAGGCTGCCATGGGTGGAGGGCTGCTTCCAGGTAAGGGTTAACCATTAGCTGACACATCATATGTTCAGGGTGATGTTTACTAGGTAAATGATTATCTGTTCACATCCTTACTGAAGAGTGCTTTAAATCCAAGCAAAATTTATTTTAAAAACAGTGTTGTTTATCTTACCTTTTAGGTGCTAAGAAATGGCTAGAATGGAGGAAAGAAATTGAACTTCTTTCTGATGTAGCATACTTCAGCCTCACCACTTTGTCAGGTACCGTTCATTAAGTTTAACCATTTATTTAACATGGTTTGTGGTGGAAGGTTGAGAATATGGTTCAGGTGTGAAGAAAAGGGAAGCTAATGTTTCTTTGATATTTGTTAGCTGAATTAATTACCTACTTACAAATGTTTAATGCATCTGGGTTACTGTCATTATTGCAAATATAATTAGAGGTCTGTAAAGAGCTCAGCCCTTCTTGTGAGCACCCCTCTGTCTCAGGGGAGTCTTGTAGTCTCTCTGCCCGGCTGTCTGCAGGAGAGGAAGTGTCCGGTATGTGGCCTGGGACCAGGCTTCTTCTTATCCCGTTGTGGATGCTGGGGATTGGGGGGGCACCCAGGCCCGTCCACTCCTCTGGGTCCCGGCCCAGGGAACCCTGTAAGTAGCAGTTACCTGCCGCATATTAAAGAAGTTGGTTGCTGTCACATTCCCTGGGAAGCTGCTCTGTCCAACCCTTTTCTCTCTGGTTTTGTGGTTAAGTTCTATCTGGACTCTGTCCAGGGCTCTGCAAGGTGTTGTTGACTTACAGGCTAGTCTTCAGCCTGTGGACCTGGCTCTGACCAGGTCTGAAATCCAGCTCCCACTCAGAGCTGTCTGGAGTGCTGCTATTCTCCCAGTAAGCTCTTAGGTCTGCCTGGGTCAAGCTCCAGCAAGGAATTGTCAGGCCCTGGCCAAGCAGCTTCTTTAATATCAGCCTGCTGGGCCCTGATTGGCTGCCACAGAGGCCGCCACCCTATCCTACTTGGAGGACCTTTTTTCTGCTCCTGTGGCTGGAGCACGGTGCGGCAAGGCCTCCAGCCTCCGTCGGGCCTAGTCCACCCCATCACAAGGTACTAGAATCATTATTTTTATGGATGCGGCTTATTATTAAAGGTAAAATAGGGGGTGGCATCCCCTGCTCACAACGCTTACCAACTCCCACCCCAGGGGAAGCAATAGGGATGTAAGCAACTAGTAGTGATTCGACTTGAGAGTCAGCAAGGGGTGAGAGCAGCAGCTGCTGCTGGGAGGAGCCAGCTTAAAAGCCAGTTTCCCCGTCCCCCCCCCCTCCCCCCAAGCTCCATCTGAAGGGCAAAAGAGGCAAAGTTATAGTGGGGGACCAGCGTGAGTTCGGTCCTGGAAGCTGCACCTCTGCTTTTTAAACGTATTAAGAGCCGCTAGAGGGGACCAGGAAGGGGGGGTGCAGTGAGCGGGGAGTCTCGGTACCCTCATGCAGAGGCAGGCGTCCCTACCCTTGCTGCCCTGCCTCCATTCAACTGGGTTGGCAGCTGCTCCGAGTGCAGCTAGGCCACTGGTTGCTGAGCTGCGGTGGCAGGTTCAACGGGGGTGGCTCGGCGCTGGGCTCAGGATGCAGGAGAAGATGGAGCGGTGGGTGGCTGGGGACATGGGGTCCCTTGCTCTGTGCCTGGTGCTGCTCCTGAGCCTTCTGGCCCAGCAGTCCGTGAGCGCCAAGAACAACAGCGGCATTGCCAGGAACAAGTTGTGGCGCTCTAGGGTGCCAGGCGAAGGGGACCCAGGCCGGTTAGGTTAGTGCTGCCAGGTGCCTCCTCACCTGCCTTGCAGGTGTGTGGCTAGGCAGAAGGGAGACTGGCTGGACTTGGGTTTCCTCTGACACACCCTTAGTGGAGGTTTGACTGAGGGCACTGGGGATGGCGAATGGAGGGGCTGTAGCTGGTAGGGCTGGTGGCATGGTAAGAGATGTTCGGGGCTTGGAGCTGGGGGCGGGGCTATGTGAGTGACGTGCTGACATCACTTTGTCATCCTACAGGAAATATTTTTATATATAGAGAGAGATAAAATATTAGGTTTGTTTAAGATACACATTTATTCAAAATCCATGTGAAAGAATCCATCATTTACCATCTTGCTGCCACCCGCTCTACTGGAAGAATGCTTTCTGGAAACATGAAAACAGGGCCTGAGCCATGAAGAAAGTATGCATTGTGGGAGCAAGCTTGGTATTTGAGTAATTGCAGGATCGGGCCCATAAAGATATAATCTTTAAACATAACGATCACATAATTTGGCACTGAAACTTAGCCTCCTTTGGAGCTCCTAAACATGGCATCTGTTTTAATAGTGCATTTCAACAATGGAAATAAGAATGCCATCTTCTACTCTTGTACATGTTATCTTTCAGGTTATCAAACTCTTGGTGAAGAGTATGTTAATATTGTCCAAGTTGATTCTTCCAAGAAGAGAATCCCTTCTCTGCTTCGACGGGCCATTTTGATTTCTCTTCATACTGTTGTGCCTTATTTGTTGGACAAAGGATTACTCCATCTGGAACACGAGTTGCAAACAGAAACTGATGGATTTAGAGGCTTGCAAAACAGTGGTTTATGCAGCCGTACTTTGGTACGAAGCTGGATTCAGAAACAAGTTGGCAGATTGACAGAAAAACAGAAGAAAAGCCTCTTACAAATTGTGTATGTCCTCAAGCAATTCATCCCCCTGTTCCGTAGGCTGCATCTGGCAATATTTTATATAAATGGCATCTTCTATCACATCTCTAAAAGGATCACTGGAATATCTTATGTATGTTAAAGGATTTGTTGGCTAAAGACACTTTTCTTAACGTAATGTATTTTGGATTCAGCAGTGGTACTGCATGTAAAAGGAAATAGAATTTTGCTTATGGTGACCAGTAAATTAGGCAGTGATTAATAACATTAGAGAGTGTTTAATAATTCATGGGAGAGGGTCATGTCCCCCCTCCCCCACTTTCCTTTTTCTGGTCACTACTAACAAATCTAGATTCATTGGAGACCAGGTCAATATAATTCTAGAAAACAAGTGAATCTAGCCAAAATTATATGTGGGGCACACGCATGCAATGCTAGTATGCATGCAAACATTGATAATCAACTGCTATGACTGTATAATAATGGGAAATCTGAATATGTACAATCTTCATTAAGTTCTCATTTTTAAACTGCCTTCTTCAAGCTAGTTGTGTAACGTATGTAATGTAATGTAACACTCCGCTGTGAAGATTATGGGAGGAAGTGATGAAAATTGAGGCACTAGCAGATCAATGGTGAGACTCATTCATGAAAACATGACATTTTGGATGGTAACTTAGCTTCTGTGTTTTTGTCTGAACTATGCAGCTTCGTGTTCCAGGATTGCCTGGAGATGACCAGAGCGTTCGATCAAGTTACAAGCTTCTTGGGATAGTTTCACTGCTGCATCTTGTACTGACAGTTGGTGTTCAGATATACAGCTTCCAACAAAGGCAAAGGGCAAGGCAGGAGTGGAAACTACACCGCAACCTTTCCTGTCCAAAGTATGATGTTCCTAACTTGCTGGGAAGGGGGGTTGAAGCAGAAATAATTGTGTGGGAATTTTTACCTATAACTAACGGGAAATTCTGTGGTGGAGCTCTGCTCACAGCTAAACACCATGATAACATAAATACTACAGGGTAGGTGGAAGGGACTTTTTCAGATGCTAAGTAGAAAACTACCCTACTAATTCTAATTCTGTGGTGGAGCTCCCTGCAGACAGGCTGCTCCGGCTACCTGCTTCCCCTTCTGTCCCCTCCATACTGCTGCCTCTGATACAGAGGCAGCGGGGTCAGGGCCCTCTGCAGAGCCAGCGCTTGTGGGGAACTGGCTGTTAAACTGGTTTCCTCTGAGCACCAACTCCCATCTGCTTCTCTTCCTCCCTCCTCCCCTCCACTGCCTCTGTGGGGAGCCAACTTGAAAGCCAGCTTCCCGGGTGTACCAGCTCCCACCTTCCCCTGTCCCCCCACTTGCTGCCTGATACCGAGGTGGAGGGTGGGGTGGAGGTGTGTGTAATTATTTGAATTAACCGATCAGCCCAGGCTGATCAGTTAATCATGTAAATGTCTATACGCTAACATCCCTACTCTATTCCCCTCTGACTTGTGCCCTTCATTAGAAACATAGCATGAATTATGGTCCAGGTTGTCTTGGGTATCTCGGGCTGTGTTCTGCATACTTCATTCTATGTCTGTTTCACTGACATTTCTGAAATGTTCTTAATGATGGAATATGTATAACTCTTGCGCATAAGTGGGTCTGTTACCATACATTCTCAGGAAGGGTATTTTATATATTCCGTCTGTTAAACTAAAATGTAACTAAATTTATTATTCAATCAGAAATCAGACGGAGGAAAAATCTGTTATACGCAGTTCCCGGTGCACATTGTGCTTAGAAGAACGTAGGCAAAAGCTATTGCATGTTTATTCTAGAACAATTTTCAGCCTTAGTAGTAAAATAACCTTGCTCTGCTAGTTAAGAGGCTCAGAAGTTCCATCCATGTGCTTACCAAGGTGACCAAAGCAGTAAACAAACATGTAAATGTTCTCTGTAGTACAGTAACGAGGGAAGCAGGACATGTGTGTTGTGATTACAGCCCCACTCAGGCTAGCTAAACTCAGAAATGTTGTTGAACTTTATTGAAGTTTCAGAGGGGTAGCTGTGTTTGTCTGTAACTTTAAAACAACAAGCAATCCTGTGGCACCTTACGGTACATCTACACTACGGAGAAGATCGAAGCTCCTGCTGTCAATCTTCCAGGGTTCGAATTAGCGAGTCTAGTGAAGACACACTGATTCAAATTGAGAGGGGCACTCTGGTTGATGCCAATAGTCCTGCTTATCAAGGAGTAAGGAAAGTCAAAGGAACAGTGTTCTCCCTTCTATTTCCTGCAGTGTGGACGGCTCCAAAAATCGAGTTAAGATACATCGACTTCAGCTACACAATTGACATATGCAGTTTCAGCTATTTTTAATTCGACCTTGTCCAGTAGTAGACATACCCTTAGAGACTAACAAATACAGGTTGGACCTCTCTTGTCCAGTACCTAACCTGTCCCAGATAAGGGAATTTGCCAGACAACGGGAGGTCTCCTGACACCAGCCCCTCAGCCTGCTACCTGGCTGGGTTGTCTGTGGGCCAGACCCAGGTCTGCTGCTGGCCAGCCGGGTAATTCCAGCCCCACTGCCGAAAGGCACGTTGCCCGATTGGGCTTAACACTGATTCTGCTGGGCTGCTGTGGCCACCGTCCTGGCCCTACTGATGGGTGTTCGGGAGCCCCAATCACGCTACCACCCCGCTGTCTCCCAGGCTGAGGCAGCTGGACCAGGATTCCCCTCTTCGGCTGCTGTGATCCCAGCCCCACTGCTAGGCAGCAGACAGTCCCAATTGCGCTCCACCCAGGCTGCTGCAGCTCTGCTGCTACCAGACTCTTAGGGCTGCACCGGGCTCCCGGTTGCTGGCCCTCCTGCTCTAGGGTACTCTCATCCAGAAACATCCATGGTCATGCTGGACCACAGATGTTGCTGGATGAGAGAATCCCGGATTTGAGGCGCAACCTGTATATAGGATCATGATCTTTGGTGGGTAAAACCCACTTCATCAGATAAGTTGATTCTTACTCAGCTTGATGAAGTGACTTTTACACACACAAGCTCATGATCCTATATATTTGTTAGTCTCTGAGGTGCCACAGGACTACTCATTTTTATTGGAGTTATGAATTTCCATAATGTATGGGATTAGCGTATCACTAACATTCAGAGACTTGGGTTCCAGTCCTGATTTCAGTGAACCAAGAAGATAAACTTAGTATTCTCCTTGACTCCAGTGAGCATTTATCCACATTACATAATATGGTGGCTTAAGTACAAATGGAAAAATCCAGGAGCGTGTAAGCTGATAGGCTCAGTCCAGGATGGAGCTATTAGCCCTTCTTCTTTTTAGGCCACAACATTTTGTTCTCCCTCTCATACTCTTAGTGGCATAAATGGTTGCATTTTGCTATGGATTAATTTTCCATGCTGTGGCTTCTTTCATGGGATATGGTAAGCTTCTTTGTGAAAAGTTAAATCTTCCAGTAAGTACAGGCAGTCCCCGGGTTACGTACAAGATAGGGACTGTAGGTTTGTTCTTAAGTTGAATCTGTATGTAAGTTGGAAGTGGCGTCCAGATTCAGCCACTGCTGAAACTGACCGCCAGTTCTGACTTACATACAGAATCAACTTAAGAACCCCAGGCGTCCCCAAGTCAGCTGCTGCTGAAACTGATCAGCAGCTGATTCCAGGAAGCCCGGGGCAGAGCAATTCTGCCTCGGGCTTCCTGTAGTCAGCGCTGGTCAGTTTCAGCAGCGGCTGACTTGGGGATGCCTGGGGCAGAGCAGCTGGGGGGGGACCGGGTTGCTCCAGTAGCGCCCAGAGCAGTGCTGCTGGACCAACCAGCAACGCCCCAGCTGTTCTACGACAGGCATCCGGAGAAAAGCCTGGACTGCTGGGGGGGGCGGTACTAGCTGGGCCCTCTCCCCCCAGCAGACCAGGGAGACGTGGGCGGGGGGCCTAGACGC